GTGCCTAATTTTCATGACATTGTCTTCGCTAGGAGACATTGTTTGTTCGTCCACAGCTGCTCTTATGGCGTCTGGAAGAGACTCAAATTGGCGCGATGCTATAATAGTACTCAAACGCTTGTTAGATAAGCCATCGGCGAATCGTTTTATAGCTAATTTTTCATTTAATGGACGGAGCACATCATATTTATTATCATCTCCGTCAGCTTGAGAGATAGTAAGGTTTACGAATAACTGTTCCAATTCTGTACCGTAGTTTTCTATTGACCTATGACCTTGCCTTGAGTTATTTAATTGCGACTGTAATGCGATATAAGACTTTTTTTGAATTAAAAATTTTCGCATATCTGAAACCAAAGCATTTACGTCTTGGTAACTAGTTTTTAGTCGGAGTTTAGCACTTGCCGATAATCTAGTTTTTAAAACAAACTCAATTAATTGGGGTTTCTAATTGTTATCAAGCATAGAATTATAGAGCTGAATACCATCAATTAATTGTAAAGTTACTTGTTCTGATCCGTGCATAATAGGGAGTAATGCGAGTGCAGTTTTCAAATCGAATGTGCAATTGGAAGCCATTTTGGATGAGCTTTGATCTTGTTTCAAGGACATTAAACTGATAATCGTATTATAAAATATATTAATATCGTGAACAATCGATTTTATATTCGCAAGAGATTCTGAACTAATTTCTGAACGTTCGATTTTCTCTTTAATGCATCGTAAAATACACTCTAATTCACTGTATAAGGACTGTGCATCTCTTAATTTTTGTTGAGCTGTTTCAGAGCTTTCCCTTCTGATGGGACCAATTTTTACTAAATAGCTCTTAATGTCTTTTAATTCATTAAATATTTTGTTTAAGTCCGACAAAGTCATAGCAAGTTATGTATGTGAATAAAAATAAAAAGAATAAGTTCTTAACCATAATTAACACTACCATGGCGAAAAGATTACTCTAAAACACACAAATAATTATAATCTAATATTTAAAATTATTTTAAAAGGATATGGCGTCATTATGTTGATATTCGAATACGCTGCGCTTGGGTTCCCACGGTGAGCGCGGTGTCATCTTACGCGTGGCACGTTGTCGGTAGCGATGCTCTGGTTGGGGCTGCGGGTCACGTGGCTGCTGGGCCGGGCTATACCCTGGACACCGATCCTCTGGAAACCTGCTGGGCCGGGCTATACCCTGGACACCGATCCTTTGGATACTGGGCTGCTGTTTACACTGCCGATGTAGTCAAATCTTGACGAGATATGGTGCTTACGGTGACGGCGTTAAGTTCTCTTCTTAATGTCTTTATAGCGCTTTTTCGACACTTCTTGAAAATGATGTAAAAAATGCTCGATGACGCAATAACGACGAGTACGATCAGCAGAATCTCCGATGCGTTGACGGATCCATGTTTCTGGCTGGTAGTGGCTTCAGCTGCTCCGTTGGCGTTTTGGGCGATTACAACTTCCTCTTTCGAGTAGCTTTTTCCCATCTTCTAAAAAAAATTTTTCCAAGGTGTTTGTGCAGGAACTGGCCGGGTCGCCATCCAATACTTTGGTTTCTTGTTGTATTAAATAAAAAACGTGTTGCTTGTATGACGGAGGTTTATTGAGTGCACACATCAATTGTAATTAACATTGTACATAATTTTAACAGAATAAGCATAACGTGAGTTACTTATGTACGTAAACAGTGAGAAATAACACAAGTTCAATTTAGTATGCTATCTATGCATTAACATTTACGTGTGTGCTTATTACACACACTTCATATGTACTTTTCTTTAAGGGTAGAGGGGGTATAAGCTATTTAATGATAATAATGTTTCGTTGAATCAGTAGTGCTATTCTGTTATGACAGCCTAGAATTCAACGACTATTGTCAATTAAAAATTTCTTGAAAATATAATAAAGTTTTTATTTCATAGAAGCTCTATAACATGACCATGCTAAGTTTGAGCCTGTTTTCTTAACAGAATAACATAGCTAGTTAGAAAGGTGGTTACATACATAGTACGTTCCTTTGGAACAAATATTAAAAAATATTTCACTTTTATTCCTGATCGGCTCGCGATTGTTGTTATTAAGCAACTTTCGCAAGGGTCAGTCACGGGATGGGTGACCAAAAAATAATTATCTCGAACTACCCCGTTGTTCGTAAGGCACGTAAACTGTTGTTCCCAGCTGTAGTCGTTAATACTAATATAATACCGGATCAGCGTGGAGGGTTTTGATCCGTCCTCCTTAACCATCCCTAAGGAAGGCCTGAGCCCTTGCAGTGGCGATGTAAAAGGGGTTGTTGATCATACCTATCAATAACAAAAAGAGAGCATATTAGTTTAATAGTAGAAATATGGATATGTAATTATGTTTAAGGGCGATGCGTCACGTGTGCAATGAATTGAATAACCGCATAGTGTTGATTATATAAGTTATAATATTATTATATGCCAGAACTTCTTAAGCCTTAAGTATACTAACCCACTTTTACTATTTATATTTCATACAATACAATCGCAATATAAGTATGAAACAGCTGATTATTTTTTGTCAATTCAGTGTTGCTCCCATAGTAAAAGTTGATGAAGTTCTGCCACATAATAATATTGCACATTATATATAACGTATTTCGCAATCATTTGCTCATTTTAAAATACATGAACAAAATAGCTTGTTTGATTTTGTAACCATTAAATTTATTAGGTACTCTTCTTCTAAGTCGTTTCATTATTGTCAAATTGCTTGTTGTCGTCAATTAGGAACAGATTGAGTGGCATGTTTTGTTAGATCAAACATTCTTCTTTATGAAGTTATATCTTCCTTCACGTTACCTATAATAATATAATGCTTTTCATTTAGTATGTGTGCCATCAACCTTGTGCTAAAACAAAAAAGGGTTGCACAGCCAATCTTCAGGGTGACCGCGGTGATCATCAGTGTCTTAAGAAGTGCCACGAGACATGTGATGATTGCAACGTAAACGTAAGTTTTTTTTTAAACATTTGAGAGTGCATACGCCCAGAATATTGAATTGGTATTTACAAAAATCTACTTCTAATAAACATAAACAAAGAATACTGATTTTAACTATAATGCAATGACACAAATTTTATTGGAATTGCAATAAATTATCCAAGGTATTAAAAGTTTCTGAACCAAATTTTATTATATTTATATCATATGCTAGCTTTTCAGGGGCGACTTCGCCCGCGTGGTCCATAATTAACATATTTGGCTATCGATTCATATTATGACACGGATATAATTACAATGTCAAGTTTTAATCGCTGTCGTTCCCTATACAAACTTCCACTTCCATTTTCATCCCTTTATTTACTGCTTAAGATATAGCTTACCGTAGGTAAAAGAATTTTTAAAATCGGTCCAGTACTATGTCCAATTCTTAGTGTTTTTTGCTTTAAAATACTACAGACATCAAGTCAAGTTCCTCCCCCCCTCCCCCTCGGCTAGAAAAGTTGTCGATCCGGGCCTGTTTCCGCCCGGGCCTCTGATGGGGTTAGTGCGCCTCTGCATACATCTACTGCTTGCGCCATCTGAAACCAGTTGAAGAGTAGCTGTGAAAAAGCATTTGCGACTGCTGAAATGTTAAACTCTGCTTATAACTACCATAAAACAAGTTGTTTAGCTGACTATAGCAACATACATTTTGATATATATTTTTCCTCTTATATCTTTAGGTAAGCAAGAAGAGATCAAAATGCAAACACTCTGAACGAGTTTTGTGTTGCCAAGACGTCAATGAAAAGCCTTGTCGTAAAAAATGTGCTCGAATTTTGCCCGCCTGTGGCCATTACTGCAAGAAAAAATGCTTCGAACCTTGCGGAGACTGTGACCAAAAGGTATGGCGTATACGAAATATGTAGTTATAAGTAAAGAATTTTCTCAACTTACTGTAAACTTGTAAAGAGACAAATTTTTTGGGTTGGTGATGGGATGTAAAGAGACATATTTTTTGGGTTGGTGATGGGATGATTTGGGATATAATTTATTTATAAATTATATGGATTTACAGATAATAAAAACTATACCAGAATGCCAGCACCCAATACAGACGATTTGTAAAGAAGAACCAAAGCGTGAAATGTGCAAGAAGCCGTGCGAGAAAAAATTGTCTTGTGGCCACATTTGCCGCAATCGTTGTGGCCAAAATTGCGACGTAGACACATGCACAGAAATCATTAACGTGCCGATTGTTTCTCCATGCGGCCATAAAGTCAAACTACCTTGTAAACTATATTCACAATATGTTAAAGGTAAACACACTTGCAAATATACAATAACACGGTTGAATGTATACTTAGGTTATTATTTTTGATCAATTTGCATTCACAATGCTATAATGGAAAACTTTTTTAATGAAAAATACTCAAAAAAAAACATTTTGTCCCTAGCACTCTGAGATGGGACTCGAACCCATGATCTTTCGCAATCTGCCCTTTCCACTGAGCTACCCAGCACCTAACAGTCTGGCGAATTTTTCAAGCACTTGTTACTTTTTAGCTACTACAAAGCCTATTTCCATCAATGTTTAGGCAATCCACCTGAAAATATTCTAAATGAAAAATTCTTAAAAAATACACTTTGTCTCTGGCACTCTGATTGCATTACGCTTTTAAAGAATTTTAAAAAGTAGTCTGACCTTCTGTTGCTTGAAGGAAAACTTATCTCTCCTTTTCATTTACAGATAACTTCCTACCTAATTAGCGGTATAATGTTGCGTAGTAACTGCAACACAGATTATCTTGTTTACATTCAAACTTTTTTTTGTGTATTTCAATTACTGTAAAATATAAAATAGGCTACAATTACTGACCTACTCGCACTGTCACTACTAGTTAGTAATAGGAAAGTAGAATTACTGCGTCTAGGTAAAACACAGAAATAATCTCAAATGGTTCAAATGGAGGCTTGAAATCTAAATAGAGAATAGGTTTTAAACTGGTTAGATGTTGTTAATATTTTTATATGTATTTATTTTTAGGTACCATAGACAACAAGGAAATTTTAAGCCATTGTACACAGCCATGCAATTACACATTAAAATGTGATCATGTTTGCGGGGGCACGTGTGCGCAGTGTCTCCACGGCCGAATACACATGCCTTGTACGAAGGCTTGTGAATCAATAATGATTTGTGGCCATAAGTGAGTGTTAAAAGGCAGTATGAACGTCGATAAGCTGTACTTTGATTAAAAGAAGCTGTAGTTAAAAATGGTGTTATAATTTAATTTTATTATTATTTTAGATGCATGGAGCCATGCAATCAGGTGTGTCTACCGTGCAAAATGCCCTGCGAGGTGAAATGTACTCACTCAAAATGTAAAAATACATGTGGCGCACCTTGCGTTCCTTGTCAGGTACTTGAAACAATAGCTATGTTTTATTAGTTTACTATAGTGCAATGATAAATGGAATATCCCACACAATATTTCATAAGATTTTACAAATCTTTGGCGTAATTTATGTTAGCGAAATGGTTTTATGCTGACATAATGCTAATACGACTTAAAAAAAATCGTTTTTATAAAAACGATTCTAAATTTTCTGTATTTTCTTTGCCAAACTCTCTAGCCATAGGATACGACATCTAAGCGAATATTATTAAGATATTTCGTTTCATTCCACTACTTTCGCAATGGCCGGTCGTAGTAGTGGGTCACTGGCCATTCTGCCTGTTCGATCAGATTCGATTTCAAACGTAGGGGAGGCCTGAGCTCTGGTACATTGATAGGCTGGTGATGAGATGATGCGATTATGTTGATTAAGTAATAAAGATAATAATATGAATTTTACTCAGTAATAGTGATAACATAATAAACTGAAGTCCTTTTTTTATATTTAGTGTAATCACACTTATTAATGTTATAGGTACTAATTGCTTGCATGAATAATATTCTTGTGGCTTTGTCGTATGCTTATTGTTGCATGAACTAATTTTATATGATTCAGTATTCAATTCAACACACACACCACACGCAAACACACACACACACCACACGCAAACACACACACATACACACGCACGCACGCATGGTATCCGTTCTAATATCCATAGGTCAAAAGAGGGTACTAGTTGAAAATCAGCGTTAGCCCTAGCTGACAAATGCTGAACTAGTCACCCTTTTTAGGGCATTCATGGGACGCTTAATGTGAAATGTCACATATTTGATTAAATCTTAATGTTTGATTATATTTTATTGTCTAGTGTTGTGTGTTAGCAGTTTTTTTTTAATTTACAACATAATCTGTGTCTTATGTCTGTACTAGAATAAATGAATTTGATTAAAAAGGAGAAGTGCCGTCGATCGTGCGTGCACGGCTCGTGCACGCGGCGGTGTGGTGAGCGGTGCTCGCGGGCGGCCTGTAATGAGCCGTGCCCCCTTAAACTGCCCTGTGGTCATCCGTGCCGTGGCCTCTGCGGCGAGCCCTGCCCTCCCATATGCAAACATTGCCGCCCTGACGAGTTCCCCAAAGACTTCCTCGGTTACGACTTCGACGAAGATGCCAAGTAAGAATAATAGGAAATATGCACATTTTTGGAAAATATTTTCAATTGATAATTTACATCGATATATAACTGTAAAAAAATACCCGGCACTGTAAAACTAACATTTTGTAACATTAATCGTTGATGAAAATAAGTAATAGCTACGAGCAATTTAAACACCGGAATTTTTGGCGCGCTTGTCGTGACGTCAAAGTACACGACTATACTCCATTCATTATATATAACGTTAGAAAAAAGAGGGTCATAGAAGCAGCAATTCAGAACATTTTATTTTCAAGATATTTTTAAAAAATATATATTAGTTTTGTTAAAAACTTTGAACATTAGGTAGTTTGAAAGAACTGGGCAATTTTCCATTTTTACGATACCTCGGGGTTGAGATGAGGCCAGCATCTTATAAATTCATCTTTTAGTCCCAAGCTAAAATGGGACTAAAACTGAAACTATCTATCTGTTGTTTTGATAAATTCTAATTGTAAGTGTAATTAGTTAGACTATCGATGAAGACATTGGAAAAACTTCCTGAAGTGTCAATGGTTGAGGGTAGGCATGGGGGCTTAAATTTTTGTAGGCCACTTAGGCCTGCACCGGAATCGCAATTTAGCAAAACTTAACAGCATAAAGTTAACAACTATAAGAAAACAACAATAAAACAGTAATTACTGAATCACCGAAAATGACAAAACAACAAGAAAGGCAGTAGCATTCACAATGAATGACAATTCCAGATTACATATTTTGACGATTATGAATAAATCATAATCTGACAAAATTAAAAAGCTGTACTGCCGAAACGTTTGAAGGGATTAGGCAACGTCTTAAATTTGGTAGAGTTATAGTGACATGAGAATCATGCCAAAACTATCTGACCCTGCTTCTTTAGGTTCTTTAAGATGGACACTTTTTATTGTAATGATTATTAAATGTTTTAAGTCAGTCAAATACTCATAAATTTGAATAATATATAGCTTAAAAGACTACGGTTAAGTATAGCAGCTGGTATTTAAGTGGATATGTAGCAAATTAGCCATTAGTCTTAAGAGTAACGTGATTATTGATATTTTTCCACAAAGTATACCATACAAAGAATCTAATTTTCTTTCTGTCTAATGCTATAATGAATGGAGTGTAGATATATGACATTTTAAATCAATATGGATTTTGAGTGATTGATTATTATTCAATAACCCAAATCGATTAGCAACTAATTGATTTTTAAAGTGTTATAGACTTTTTAATAACTCATATCCTTTACCAAATTAGTGAAATAAAAATAATAGCCTAAAACATCATTTAAATTGTAATTCGTTGTTTATTTTGCGACTTAATATTACTTTGATGTTATTGCATCGATGTTAACTTTTTGTAACAACGACATCCCTATACGTGTACATTTTCGTCACATCCGCTCTGACTAGTAGCATGGCGTTTGAATAATTTGAAGTTACCGCATCCATTTTTGCACCTTTCAAGAATTATTTTCATGACGAAAGCGAACTAAAGTTGAAAAATATTAACCTAGACTTTATTCTAAAGCAATAATGAACGTTATAAAATATATTAAAGCCTTTTTTGAATCAAAAGCATATTCCCTATTATATTAATAAATAGTAATAATATCTTTTTTTATTATATTTGATCAATTTTGCATTCACAATGAAAAATGCTTAAAAAAATCCACTATGTCCCTGGCACTCTGACATGGGACTCGAACACATGACTGCTATATCCACCGACCTACCTAGTATCTAACAGGACTAACGAATTTTTCAAGCACTTGTTACTTTTTCGCTCTGCAGGAGCACAAAATATATTTTTGAAACATTTTTCAATGAGAATAATAAATTTGTAGAGCTAGAAACAATTTGCAACCGGCAAATGAAGGAGTATGGAATTTTTCCACAGCTAAAGTTATAGAGAAGAAGTGCAGAATATATTTTAATATAAATAATTAAATTAAATCATTAGTTTAATAATAATTAATTTCTAGCATTATTTTAAGAAAGTTCTTATAATAATACTAAAAAAAAAACATTTCACTGACATACTATATCATTCATGCGTTTGACGCGTCAAGCAATCTTAAAGTGCCTCTCGTATATTCTCACCTATACTCCATTCATTATAACATTAGAAAAAAGAGGATCTCAGAAGCAGCAGTGCAGAACATTTTATCTACAAGATAAATTAAAAAAATATTTATAATAGTTTAGTTAAAATTTTGAAGTTTAGATAGTCTGAAAGAGCTGGGCAATTTTACATTTTCTCGGGGTTGAGACTAACCTTTTCTAAATTCATCTTTTACTGAGAGCCAACATGGAAATGAATATATCTATCTGTTGTTTTGATTGATTCTAATTGTAAGTGTATATAATTAGAATATAATTTAGTTATATCTATGCCCAGCAAATAAAGGTCAACAAAATGAAATTTTTATTATTACTGTTATAACATTTATTCAAATATAATTAGACTATTGATTATTACTACTAGAAAAACTTGCTGAAATGTCAAAGTAATTGGTATAGGCCACTCGGGCCTGCACCGGAATCGCAATTTAGCAAAACTTAACAACAAAAAGATAACAACTAAAACAAAACTATAAGAAAACAACAATAAAACGGTAATTACTCCAGATTCCGCATTTTGACTATTATGAATAAATCGTAATCTGACAAAATTAAAAAGCTGTACTGCCGAAATGTCCGAAAGGATTAGGCAACGTTTTAAATTTGGTAGAGTTAAAGTGACATGAGAATCATGCCGAAATTATCTAACCCTGCTTCTTTAGGTTCTTTAAGATGAACACTTTTTATTGTAATATTTATTAAATGTTTTAAGTCAGTCAAATACTCATAAATTTGTTTAATATATAGCTTAAAAGACAACGGTTAAGTATAGCAACTGGTATTAAAGTGGATATGTAGCAAATTAGCCGTCCGTCTTTAGAGTAACATGATTGTTGACATTTTGTCACAAAGTTATGGTATATAAAAATAACCTTATTTTCATTCTGTCTAATGCTATAATGAATGGAGTATAGTTGCACAAAAGTCCGTTAAAAACTCTTCATTAGTTTAAAGCAACATTACCAATATGAATTATCAAATTCAATACATTCTTTAGAATTTGACCCTTAATAGCTTAATAGACGTTTGTGCAACGTGTGCAACCTTTCAAATATCGACCTTTCAGACGGTCGAATTTCTACAATGAGGCATTAAAAAATATTTCTCGAGGTCAAACTAGATGTCGCCTCGTACTTTGAAAGATTTGTAGTTTATTAATCAAATCGTCTTTGATATGTATTCTGATGCAAAGATAATTTAAATTAAAATTTTAATTATTTAAATATAAATTAAATAAAAAGTAGATTGAGTTTCGAAAATTAGATTAAACATCTGAAATTATTACTCTTCGTGTTAAGTATTGAAAATTAATTTTAACATTACAAAATTCCACTCATATCTCACTAAGCGCTTATCCTTATCGCTTGTCCTTAATCTGTTATCTGTTCTTTAATTTCTGATACAAACACGAATATTTTCTTCAGGTTTATCCGGCTTCAAGATTGCACCCATATATTGGAGGTGGAAGATGCCGATAATTTAATGCAAAGCGACAAGGAGACGATTAGGATTCGTTGTTGTCCTTTCTGCCGCAAGCCAATCATCAACACGTACCGTTACAAAGACTTCGTTAATGAAATGTACAAAACTGAAATTAACCCAATAAAGGAACGAGTGTATGGAACAAAAGCTCAAATTATTGAAAAGCGTGATAAACTACGTGATACTTTTACTGGCTTTGAAGAGACTCATCTTCAAGTCCTGAAAAGTACTTAAAATTTTTAGTATTATATTATTTAAAAATTATACCACAAATATTTTTCTTGCAAAAACACAAAAAGTAGTTATACCAACTTTTTTTGTTGTCTTCTTCCAATTACTTTGAAATGGAAAGGCAAAGTTTTTTTTTCTTTTGATTTTTTGCAAAAATTTAATGCCCATGTTCTACTTTCCAACTTTTTTTTGAGGTCGGTGTTACCCGTATTATTATCAGCATGAAGTAAAACAGCACTGTCACATAAGTGATTAACTATTTTTCTCTTACTTTATATGATAATTTTTTTTTTCAAAAATGTCTGGCATCGTTATCTGGCAGTCTAGGTGCAGTCCAACATTGTAATTACATACATACATCTCGAATTAATAACCTCCTTTTTTTTAATTCTGTTAAATATTATAAAAAAGGTGAAGGGGGTACATATTATAAAAAAATTGTTTACCTGTAATGCATTACCTGGGACCACGCATCACCAACACATTTAGCAGCTATTAGGTATTTAACATAGGACGTCAGGTGGTCCCAACCATTATATTCAAGGTTTAACAATCCACAAATTCTTGCAACAACGATACGCGATGCTATTGAAATAAAAAAACATCCTTCTATCAATCCCAGGCAGATGCAGATCTCTATCACATATTTTTACATCATTAATTGATAAATTAATCGCATCAGGGCTCCTATTATCATATGTAGTTCTATAACCGAAACCCTTTCCTTTTCAGGTAATATATACTTCAGAAGAGTTTATATAAAACTAAATGCAACATTCGTATTCACTAAGGCATCACTTTTGCAAATGGATATGCATTTCATTAACTTAGATATTTTAGATATGATTGGAAACTATTGCAAAATGTATCAGAATGCCAAATTAATATGCTTGAGTGAAGAATTTTTGGACCAAGTTAAAGTACTTTGCAATTATATTTATAATTGTGTAAAAAAAATTAGCGAACAACAACAAGAAGACATAGGACGTGAAATACAACGAATGAACTCCATAATTCAGTTCTCAACAATTTTGGACCGTTGTGGCGAAGCAAAACACGAGCTTGGAGTAAAGGACGCTTTGGAGCAAGCAAAATCCAGAGTAATTTTTGACAATATATATAATGAAGATATAGCGGTATCAGCTCTAAAAGAATTCGAAAAAAAGGTAAAATTAAGCGCAGTCATTACCAAAAACGAACGTGCTTTAATAGTTAAGGCCATGAAGTTTCCTAAACAAGGGCATTGGTATAAATGTCCAAACGGACATATCTACTGTATTACCGAGTGCGGCGGAGCATCGCAAATAAGTAAATGTAATGAATGTGGAGCAACCATAGGCGGAGTAAATCATAGATTACTGTCTACCAATACCGTTGCCGGAGAAATGGATGGAGCACAACATCCGGCATGGTCAGAACAAAACAATATGGCGAATTTTGATTTAATCTTTGATTGATGTGTTTTACTATTATTTGTGTTTATTATTCTAATAGCTAAGTGAGTGTTTACAAATATTATTAAACATTATTTTAAAGTGTATCGTCTTAGAAAATAGGGTATTCATAAATTTATTATGTTGTTATCAGACTTTGAACAAGTACAGAGGTACATAAGGATATACAAAATTTTAAATATATTGATTTTAAACCTTTACAGTTTAGTGGAAATGGATTGCCAAATTTTGACATCCGTGTCAAATCAAAAAAACGTGAACCGTGAACTGAACACATGATTTGTGTCATTTTGTTGATAGAGTAACTTTTCTTTAATGAAAGACTTCTATATCTAGTAGACAAGCTATTTAATATATTTCATTGATTTTGCATCCACAACCGCCGATGTCTAGAAGAGGCGAAACTTTTATAAGCGCGAAGGCCGCGTTGTCGCCGCGCAGACACTTTACAATAAATCGATTCGATAGTCAAGAACAATTCAATGTTATCGCCTAGTCAATAGAGTTAGAATTTGATATAAGGGAAATAAAGTACGCACAAGCATCGAAGCCAGCGTCCGGCAGCCGCAAGAACTTCTCTGCCTCTACCAAACCAAAGTCGATAGTTTCAAAGAATTTAAATGCTGCGGCCTAGATAATGAAATTTGCTATGAATTGACCATAGGAATTGACACCGGTACATGGCAAGCACGCGTCTCCTCGCGATGGCTGCATAAAAGTTTTCGCACTCGTCTAAACGCTGTCTTAGGGTTGAACTAAATCTGGTAGCACGGTATCGCCTTTTCCGTCCCCCTATCCTATAGTCTTGGGTGTATTAGTTCGCAACTGAGATCTACTAGTTTAGTTCGCCGTTCCTCTATGAACTAATACGCTTTTTTAGTTGGTTATTTTATATTTCGTTCGCAGCCCTTCTCCCTTCGTAGCAGGAGCAGTTTTAGAACGAGCGAACGATCTGCCTTATATCGATTTATTTTAAGACAGTTCATTTGCTTTTTTGATACTACTCCTGCTGCGATAAGATTATTGAACACCGTAATCTCAAAATTTTTAGACATTGATAATAACATGAACTTCATAATTAATATTGTTAAATATATTCACGAACTACGAAGCGGGAAATTCGGGATTTTATATTTCTTTTTTTTATATATTTTTATTCTAGTTCGCGTAATCCATCTGCGAGAATGCGCAACTTCGAACTAGTTCTACACAGTACTACTATCCTAGAGCTTTTGTAAAAAGGATAGGGCGGCGAAAAAAGAAGATACACTGCTACTAGATGACCACTATCTGCTAGTTGTGTAATATGTTTGCAGATAAATATCTTTTTGTCAGAAATAAAAAAATAGTTGCACTTATTATAACTTGAAATCACACCAACAAAATGTACACGCGAGTAATTGATTGATAACATTTAATTAAATAAAACATTTAATTAATTAAATTTAATATATTTCGATCACAACTTTGGCGAGTTTGCATCGCATAAACCTACTTGCTCGTTTTCAATCGAATAAGTGCATAGTGTGATGTCTTATTAGTGTAACTTAGATACTTATTGCTTTTACAAATGTAAAGAAACAATAGTAGCAGGTCCTGAGAGCAGTGTAGGCTTAGAAGACATCATAATTACCAAGAGCTAAGTAACGAAATAAATATATGAATCCAGACAAGAGATGCTAAAATAAAACTAAGTAGGTACCTACATCATTCAGATTACCACAATATGTGCAATTTTGTATATCCTTATGTGCAGTTGACTGTATGATATTTTTTGTCCATTATTTTAGTTTAAGCACTATTTCTTAAATTCTGACCATAATATTAAGATCTTTTTGCTTTCATGAAACTCTACATAGCTATGTAGGGCTTAATTTTTATTTTTTAATTAACAGAAGAAAAATTTTTTTTTTAATGATTACATTTTTGGTATGATTATATTATTTTGTTGCACCCATTAATATAAGAAGCCGATGATTGATTAAATAAAGAGTATAATATTATAATTGCTTATGATTGCTTTGCGTTTCAAATGGCGGCAAGGGTTACAAATATTTTCCAAGTTGACAAAGTTCAACATAATTTTCCAAAAATATTAAATGAAAATAAAGGCAGTTTAGATTATTTCGTGTTTAACAGCAGGGACAAACATTTTCTCTATTTCATTTGTAAATATGGAATTATCCAATGGGTTGTCAAATATAATAAAATACTATAATCTTTTTAAGTTTTCCATATAATTTTCAATCTTTAATATAAAAACGTGTATATGACATACTGCAGTCCTACTAATCATCGTATTTTAGTAAAAATAAGCCTCCACTAAGATATCCAGTATCGATCGATATGGCCATACACACGCGCAAAAACACCCAGACCCAGTAACGAAAGTTACTAGTAATAATAAATAAATCATATTTACTTTTATGTATCAATAAAATTTAAAGCTTGTTACACCTCACTTTACAATCGGTGTTATAGATACTATTATGTTCCCAAATAATCACACTGAATCAGCTTACTAACGTAATGTCTTTCAATAATCACAACATTACAAATTACAATAAAAATACAATATTTTAAGGCATTCAGTTTGAAGCAATAAACCATATTGTATTTTTGAAAGAGACTAACGAAATGTAAGCGTCAGAACCCCTGGACCAAGTACGATTTTTTTATGTTTGGAGACAAAAAAGTTTTAGTACCTTTTTGGTACTATTTGATACCTAAATTCAATTATTTAGTACCTCGACGAACAACACAAAAACATGAAAAGAAAGTGGCCAGACATTCTGACGTCAGGTTGTCTGGACCATATTTTTTTATTACGAATATATTATATTATATATATTATATTTTTTACAACGAAATGTATTTAAGAAGAGGGCAGCACTATACAGTATTTTTCGAATTTGAAGATAAAAAAAGTATTTCCATTATATGACCCACCCCTTTTAATAAAAGGGGTCAGAAATAATTTGTTAATGAAAAATTTAAAATATAACATGAATGGAATGTACTCACAGAAATATATCTAGTTAGAAGGAAAAAGTGTACGTACTTCGCGTGCCGAAAAGACGTCTAGAAAGCTTCATTGCTCGCCGCGAGGCTCAGTCCACTTTCGATCGCAATCGGTGTTGGACGAAATTTAAAATGATGCGTTGTTCGATAATTACCTGCTCAAACACCACCAATATGATTGGATCTTATAGTCGAGGTATTTCCTTCCATCGGTAAGTAACTATTTGCCTTGATATATCTATTTTGAATTAAAAATCATTAGTTTTGTTGCTCCGTATTATTTTTATCAAAACGGTCATGTGTCCAGTAATAGCTTTCCAATGCGGCTTTAATTTAACAGTCCAAATGTGCTGTACTTGTAAAACCATCGATGTATAATTCAAGGTCAATTTGTTGGAGGACAAATTATCATTTTTTCTGTCAAAAATGGAGAATGGTGCTGTACAATGCGATTTTTTTACCCGATTAAAAAAATATCGTTTTTGAAAGCAGAAGAAAGGATAATTAATTTTATATTGAATTATACTGTAATTTTTGTTTTAGTTTTCCGTATGATCCTAATATTAAAAATAAATGGATTGAAGCAACAGGACTCTAAGGTAAATAGTAGGTATACTTACTGGACATGGAAACTTTAACAAACACCTATATAACATGGGTTATTCTGACAGTCCTCTGAGCAGGGCGTGCATGGAGACTTAGGAGATTGTCTCCTCACATAAGCGCTTGTGCACTCATGTGATACTGGAATGCAGGAGCCTATTAAGACAAAAGGACTACATATCTATGAAGCCCAAGGATACTAGTGGAAGCATGCGGCAGAGTTCGAGATCTTACGGGCTTCCTGGAGGAGCTGGGGTGGCAGGACTAAAGCAACCCCGTGTCATGCAAAATAGGCACTGAGTATAGAGTTGCAGAAAAGCCCGCCGTGAAACAACATAACAACACAGGACGTAAAAATGTGTAGCGTGTCGGGGGGGGGGGGGGGGGGGTAGCGACTATTACAAAGTGTTTGCCCACAGAAAAATGCTGATTTCTATTCTATTGCATAAAATCTTTTTTGCGCCGATTCACTAAATTACATTCGTGAGTTCGTGACATATACATAATATTTAAGCAAAATGGTAGTCTGTCTTATGATGATTTTGATAGTAGGATTTTTTTTTACCTTTATTACCCCAGAAAAGGTAAAGAAAGGCGTATAATTCGTAGACAATGAGTTTATTCTACATTGAAGATTACAATATAGTAATCGTAATTTTTGATTAATCCTTTTTTTTTTGTAATTGCCAAGTTGTTTTCTCGTTTTACTGCAATGTGTGCTTATGTTCGATTAAAGCCTGTTACTTTGACACTCCTTGTAAGAAAACCCAATATATTTCAGAATTTAACGCAGAACTTCTAGGCTACAATTAAAATCCAGATCGGTTTTGGCAATCCACTGATGTTTTCTTCATGTAGGTACCTCTTTTTTTCACAGAGCAAAGAACTGAATCTTTTGTCGAAGTGCACAAATGTTGCAGTTAACCATTTATTTCTTAGGACTACTATCTATGTTTACCAGGGGTTTCAAATATGCCACCATTTTTATAACCTTCATCTACAATACGTATCACTATATTCTCTGATTTTCCTGAAAGTAAGTTTTAAAAATGTAATACCTATAGGTATTTGGCAAAAAGAATGGAATCACCACAATGATCAAATTAATGCTATAATTTTAGTAATATAAAGCACAAACTTTTTATTGGCGTACGTAGGTAAAAATCGTACATTCCTAACAGATATATTTTTTACTCAGATTAAAATCAATGATAAATTTGATTATCCAAAAGTAATGAAAGTTCGGGCCGCACTACAATATAGCCTTCTAACATTTTCAATCTAACCTATAAATGCATAATGTAATCAATACTTCTTTTAGACTTAAATTCATATATTTAGTAAATTTGAAATTTCTGGTAACCAAAACTCAATCAGTAACACGATTACATACCAGCCATAACTGCCGTTCGAGCTTTAACATCCTACAAATATGATAAAATGTGTCCAGCTTCTTGTTCCAATAAACATCACTGAAAAAGTAGCTTCAGTTTAATCAAAACAAATCAAAAATGCAGAAAATCGAGCTAAAAAATCAAGTTGTTGACAGTCGATGTACTTTGATTCAGTGTTATCATACTTGTGTCTAATGTTAGTTCCTCAAACATTTTCATGACTTTA